TGGAAGCTAAACACTGAATACACATAAAGATGTGAACATAGACACTGGAGACTACCAGATGAGGGAGGGAGGTAGACATGGGCTGAAAAGCCACCTACTGGGTATTATGCTCACTACCTGGATGATGGGACCATTTGTACCCCAAACCTCAGTGTCGTACAATATACTCATGTAACAAAACTACGGATGTACCCCTTATAATCTATAATAAAACTCAAAATTACAAAGAAAACTAAATCTGTATTTTCCTACTTCTTGTTATCATCAACATTATTAATCTGTTCCATGCCATAAACTCTCACTTAAATTACTGCAAAAGCTCTTTAACTGGTCCTCCTCTCCAGATACCTGACATCTCCTTCCCTCCCCTGGTGAATTCTTCAGACACTATACAGGGTGATTCTTTTAAAAGGATTAAGCATGCTTCTGTATCAGGTCTTTTGTGCTCATTCCCTCTAAGTAGAATGCTGGTCTCTAATTACCACCCAAGTTATCTCCCCTACTTCACTTAGATCTCTGCTCAAATGTCACCTTCTCAGAGACCTTCTCTGACCACTCTACCTCTCTATCTAAAACAGCACTCCCATCACTCTCTATCCCCCTACTGTGCTCTAGTTTTCATTTCACTTATAGCGACCTGAAAGTATATTTATATATATTTAAAACCTGTACTCCCTGCTTAAATATAAGCTCCATGATGGCAAATTTGTTTTTATCTTCTATTATTTACCTAATGCATAGAATGGTACTTATCACATGACACAGGCTTGATACACTGAGTGATTGACTACTTTCTCTTTTATTCATTATTTTGATTTGCCACTATGTAGGTGCTTGGACTATTTTAATTCCTAAGAGTACAGAAATGAATGACAATCTCCACTTTTCAGAGCTCTTGATCTAAAAAAGACATATATGCACACAAATACGTTCAGTTCAGAACATAATTTATATAGAGAGGCAGTAGAGAGGATTATTTTAAAAAACGGAGAAAGTTCAACTGGAATAGGATTTAAAAGAATGAATAACATCACACAGATGTAAATAGAGTGTGAGATCGGGGAGCCATTCCAAGTCAATAGTATAGTGTATGTACAGGCAAAAAGGCACGAAACAGCAGGTTTTATTTAGGACACCATAATTAGTTTGGATTATTGGAATACTGGTATGGTGGGAAAGGTGATAAGGATGATGTGTGCAGGAAGGACCCCAAATATTAAGAGCTTTATATGCCATGCTAAGTGGTATACATTTTCTTCAGTAGCTGAAGGAGAAGCTCTGAAAATTTTTTAGATGGGATTAATATGATAGGTTTTCACCCTGGCCATTTCATTCACACTTTAGATATGCCATTGTAAGTAAGAAATTCAGCTTAAAATAGTCCAGATAAGAGCATGAAGTAGCAATAGTTGGGGAAAAAAATAAAAGTATGCATGAGGCTATCATAATTGTATGAAATAAATTTTTAAGATCATACAACTTTTGACTTTGCTTCTATGTTTCAAAAGGAAATCTGTAATATAAATCTGGTTTCCCAAGTAGACATTCCTATTGGGAAAAGAACATACTGATCAGGCAAATCAAGTAATCCGGTGGGATTGCAGCTTATTTTTTATTTTTACCATTCTAATAATTTGTGAGTTGCTAGTGTGGTCAGTTTTTTACAGACTAATTGCTCCTGGAAAAAATGGTAACACTGATTGCTGAACATGCAGAGTTGTTAAGACCCCAGTAACATTTCAGGAGTATAGAGACCCTGCAAAGACTTTAACACATAGCTTTACTAATTATGTGGGATGTTGTTTGTTTGTTTGTTTGTTTGTTTTTGAGATGGAGTTTCGCTCTTGTTACCCAGGCTGGAGTGCAATGGTGCGATCTCGGCTCACAGCAACCTCCGCCTCCTGGGTTCAGGCAATTCTCCTGCCTCAGCCTCCTGAGTAGCTGGGATTACAGGCACGCGCCACCATGCCCAGCTAATTTTTTGCATTTTTAGTAGAGATGGGGTTTCACCATGTTGACCAGGATGGTCTCGATCTCTTGACTTCGTGATCCACCCGCCTCGGCCTCCCAAAGTGCTGGGATTACAGGCTTGAGCCATCGCACCCGGCTGGGGATGTTGTTAATCACAAACTTTTTATACCACTGGATGAAAATGTAATTGAATTCATTAGAAATTTCCAAAAACTATGTTTCACAACCATAGCCAGTACATAATAATAAGCTTCATGAGAGCAGAAACAGCATATTTCTTACTATTATCCACTATTTTACACAGAGCATAGCAAGACCCTGAAACACAGGTAAGAAATATTTGTGTAAAACCAGGTAATATGAGACATAGTATTCTTATATAATCTTACTTTTTCCTTTCAAAATTTTGGAACTGTGGGCACATGATGAAAAACAATTGAGGAAATATCTAATTAAGTCTCTAACAAAACATTTCTTTATTGAATACCAAAACTAAGAATTGTGAGAGTACAGGTAATAAGTGTGAGGACACCCTTTCTCTTTTATAAACTTGTGTCCTAACCTCCAGTTAGATAACATTTCATCCGTCTATAATTTCTTAAGAATGTTCCTCACATAGTCTTATCTTACCTTGTATTATAATTATTATAAATACTATCCATGTGTATGTCTTTGTCTGTGTTAGACTGACAATTCGTAACTGTAGTGCTGATACTCATTTATATTTTTACCAGAACCCAGTGCGAAGACAAAAAAAAGATTCAGTAACGTCTAGTTTTAACACCCCATGTTCTCATTCATAAGTGGGAGCTGAACAATGAGAACACATGGACACAGGGAGGGGAACATCACACACCGGGACCTGTTGGGGTGTGGGAGGAATAGCATTAGGAGAAGTACCTAATGTAGATGATGGGTTGATGGGTGCAGCAAACCACCATGACATTTGTATACCTATGTAACAAACCTGCATGTTCTGCAGGTGTATCCCAGAATTTAAAGTATAATAATAATAATAATAATAACAAAAACCTCTCAAGACATGGAAAAGATATGGATCCTTGCCAATGTACACTTTTTAGCAGTTTTTCAATTAGGATACACATCTAAAATTATTTGAAGATTCGTACACTCATACCCGTTTCTGCTCCCATGACTGACAAAAATACTCTGGATATTAAAATGTTTATTTTCTGTAGACAGTCCAGAAATAATGTTGTATTCCTATAACCATCTGATCTTCAACAAAGTTGATGAAAACAAGCAATGGGGAAAGGATTCCCTATTCAATGAATGGTGCTGGGATAACTGGCTAGCCATGTGCGGAAGATCGAAGCTGGATCCTTTCCTTATACCATATACAAAAATCAACTCAAGATGGATTAAAGACTTAAAACAAAACCTAAAACTATAAAAATCCTGGAAGGTAACCTAGGAAACACCATCCTGGACATAGGCCCTGGCAAAGATGTCATGATGAAGACACCAAAAGCAAGTGAAACAAAAGCAAAAAATGACAAATGGAACCTAACAAACAAAAGAGTTTCTGCACAGCAAAATAAACTATCAACAGAGTAAATGGACAATCTTCCAAAATACTGGGAGACAATATTTGCAAACTATGCATCTGACAAAGTTCTAATATCCAGAATCTTTAAAAAAAATTTTTTTGAGATGGAGTTTCACTCTTGTTGCCCAGGCTGAAGTGCAATGGTGTGATCTTGGCTCAATGCAACCTCTGCCTCCCAGGTTCCAGTGATTCTTCTGTCTCAGCCTCCTGGGTAGCTGGGACTACAGATGCAGGCCACCACGCCCAGCTAATTTTTTGTATTTTTAGTAGAGACAAGGTTTTAACATATTGGCCAGGCTGATCTCGAATTCCTGACCTCAGGTGATCTGCTAGCCTTGACCTCCCAAAGTGCTGGGATTACAGGTGTGAGTCACCATGCCTAACCTAATATGGAGAATCTATAAGGAACTTAATTAACAAGCAAAAAACAACCCCAATAAAAAGTGAGCAAAGAACATGAAGAAACATTTTTCAAAAGAAGACATACATGTGGCCAAAAAGCATATGGAAAAAAGCTCAACATCACTAATTGTTTGAAAAATCCAAGTCAAAACCACAATGAGACAGTGTCTCACACAAGTCAGAATAGCTATTACTAAAAAGTCAAAAAATAGCAGATACTGGCAAGGTTGCAGAAAAAAAGGGAGTATTTATACACTGCCGGTGGGAATGCAAATTAGTTCAGTCATTGTGAAAAGCAGTGTGGCGATTACTTAAAGAACTTAAAACAGAAGTATCATTCAACCCAGCAATCCCATTATTGGGTATACCCCCTGAAGGAATGCAAATCATTCTATCATAAGGACATGCAGGGATATGTTCATTGCAGCACTATTCACAACATGAAATCAACCTAAATGCCCATCAAAGGTAGACTGGATAAAGAAAATGTGGTACATATATACCATGGAATACTATGCAGCCATAAAGAACAACAAGATTATGTCTTTTGCAGCAATGTGGATGGAGCTACAGGCCATAATCTTAAACTAATACAGGAACAGAAAACCAAATACCACATGTTCTCACTTATAAGTGGCAGCTGAACTCTGAGAACACATGAATACAAAGAAGGGCACAACAGACACTGGGGCCTACTTGAGGCCATGACAGGTAGGAGGAGGCAACCTATTGGGTACTCTGCTTATTACCTGGGTGATGAAATAATCTGTATGTCAAACCCCTGTGATATGCAATTTTCCTATTTAACAAACCTGCACATGTACCACTGAACCTAAAAGTTAAAAAAAACTTAATATTCTAACCTTTAAATTTTTTAAAATGAGAGAATAGTTGCATAATTCTAATGAACAGTCTCATATAAAAAGATGATTGAGGAGAAAACGTCTATTAACCAATCCCAAGAAATATTAACACGGGATTCTTACCTGTATTGATATGTATATAAAATCAGAAGTTTCCGAAAGCAAAAAAAAAAAGGGCTTCTTCAAATACTTACCAGAAGTGGTATTATTTGTAAAGTATTTTTGATGGATGGGTTTTTGCAAATGTTTTCTTGAACATCTGAAATAATTATACCAAAATACCAAAATAATGTAGTTACATATATTGAAATAGAATGACTAAAGAAGCAAATATTAAATTCTGATGTATCAAAATATTCAAAACTGAATAAAAACCTTTTTTCCTATCACCCCCCACAAATAGTCTTTATGCTTCTATTATATCCAAAAATGAAAGTAATTTGATTAGAAACAATTACAAAGCTTATGTTGATAAAAGAGAATTCCCTGTACTTTATTTTATAACAATCTTCATTCAAATGTTATGTTTTGTTTTTCCTTTCTCTTTTTTTAATTAAAAAAAGTTAATTTCATCCTTGGAGTCACTCTGTAAAAATGAGATGTTTATTTAGTTATTGATGCATAAAAAATTGAGTAATTTTGGTTGCCTTTTCAATTTTTAGATTTTTGTCTATATAATAGCAAGCATCCGAGCAAAAGAAAAATAATTCAGGCAGAATATTTTACATGAAGGATTTAAATATGTAGATGTATCAAACAAAAATTTAAAAAATTCTCCAATTATTGACTTAAATTTTTAAATCTTTATCTGCATAACTTTACATCTTAAACTCCTAGCCTTAGTTCCCTGTTGCTTTCATAATTGTAGCTCCCTACTTTTTATTAATATGTTATTTTAAAATTTGGTTTTAATTTAAAAATACATAGAGTATTTAAAACATATATGCATATTTTAATTAATAATCATAAAGCTACTGTCTGTGTCACCACCTAGATTAAGAAATTTGAACGTTATCACTACCTTAGAAGCTTCCTGTCCCTTCCTGCCTCCATAATGCCCTATGGATTTCATTCACTTCCCTCACCCAAAGAGGTAATTAACCCACTATACTGCTTTGTTTTGTCATTTTAGCACATATTATTTTGCAAGGATGCAAAATAGTATTTCGTTTTACCTGTTTTTAGACTTCACATAAATAGAATTGTACTGTCTTTATTCTCCTGTGATTTACATTGTTTTTGCCCCAAATTATATATTTTTAGATTCATCAATGAACACGTGTGTAGCTGTAGTTTATTTTCTTTATGTTTTTTCTCTTGCTGCTTCAGTTTGGAAAATTTCTATTGACCTATATTTAAATTCATTGATTCCTCAGTGGTATCGAGTCTAATAATGAACACACATATAACACTTGCCATTTCTGTTATAGCACTTTTCTTTCTCACATATCTGTCTCTTATAGTTTTCATCTCTCTGCTGAAATTCTCCATCTGTTCATGCATGTTGTCTGTCTCTCTCATGTTATTCATCTTTCCCACTATAACGTTTAACATAGTCATAGCTATTTAAATAACCTGTCTGATAGTTCTAACATCTTGATCATCTTTGTATCTCATTGATTGCTTTGTCCCTTGATAGTGTTTTTCTTCTCAATAATTACTCTTTTTGCATGTCTCATAATTTTTGACTGAATGCTGGATATGACTTTTGGAATACTGGGAATGGAAGTAGATAATATTTGTGTCTGGAAATATCCACTTCTGCTAGCTCACTGGAGTGTATGTGTGTATGTAGTATGTATGCATAGATGTTTAAAAACTTTGTAGGGGGAATTTGAGCTGCCTTTTTTTTTTTTTTTTTTTTTTTTTTTTTGAGACAGGTTCTCACTTTGTTGTGCAAGCTGGAGTGCAGTGGCATGAACACAGCTTACTGCAGCCTTGACCTCCTTGGGCTTAGGTTATCCTCCCACCTCAGCCTCTGGAGTACCTGGGACCGTGGACATGTGCCACTGTGTCTGGCTGATCTTTGTTTTTTTGAATTTTTTTTGTAGAGACAGGGTTTCACTATGTTGCTTAGCTGGTCTCGAACTCCTGGGCTACAATGATCTGCCTGCCTCAGCCTCCCTGAGTGTGTTTGGGTTTTGTTGTTGCTGTAGCCAACTACAGTACATTACTAACTTCAAATTCCTTTGGTGTTATTTTGTACTTATGCAGGGGTCTTGGAGAGTCCCTCCATCCCTTGAAATGTTCCTGTTCTGTTCTTGTATTTTGGCCTTCCTGCATGTGGGCACAGTAGAAGGGATCTCTCTCTATGCTCTTGCCCATCTCCCAGTAGTAGACTTCTGTTATTTGTTACTTTGTACTTGTTGGTCGGGTAGTGGGAAAGTAGGGTAATTTTTCTCTTGTCCTGGTCCAGGCTCAATCTTAAGCAGACCCTGTGTGCCCTCCCTTTCTCCTGTTCCTCCTTCCCATGACAGTTAACTTTGCCTTGTATCTTTGGCAGGTTTTGTGCAAGAGAATTTTAGACCCCCTCCTCCAAGAGTAGAATACCTCTAATAGTTGGTCCAGAAATGTTTCTTACCCTTCTCCCAGGGGTAGAGGCTTTTTTCCTTTACTTTTTCCCTATGCCCACTAACTCTTCACCTGTGCCTTGAGAGCAATTAACAAGGTATGCTTCCTCTGTCCCAGATGGTCTTATACTGCAGGGGGAACAGTTCTGCATGGCGGGTGGCGCGGGGTTACTTCATGCCTTTCCTACAACAGCGGCTGCTGCCCTTTGTCAGGCCTGCACTACTAAGAAAGCGTTTCTCTTGTCTTCTGCTCTGCCTCCAATTTTTCTCATGAATACTCAGTGTAGATCCATGGAGAAGAATCTGAGTAGGTGTGAAGTTCCTTTGTGCCTATGGCTCCCAGAGGTTCTACATCCTCACTGTAGTCCACATTCATCTTTTAGCAATTTGTTGAAAATTTAAACAGAATTTCTAATATCAGCTTGTATGGAACTTGACACCTCTCTCTCTCATATTCTCCCATGGGTGAGAAAATATTCATGACCTGTCTCTCTTTAGATGTTTCTGTCTCTCCTTGGATGCTAGACTACTTGGTTGTGATGTGACCTCAGCTCTGCAATTGGCTCAAGGCAAGTTATACTTTTGTCATTTATCTGTTATTGTTCTTAGAAAAGGATTGATACATTCTGGCCTTCTACATTTTAAGCAGAAATAGAATCCACACACACAAAACACAGACATATAGTATGTGTGTGGCTCTGAACAATAAGTTATTTTTGCCACCTAGGGGAAATTTGGTAATGTCTGGGAGTACTTGATTGTCATGATAGGGAAGTGTTATGGCATCTAGTGAGTAGAGGCCAGAAATGCTGCTGAACATGTTACAATGCACTAGACAGTCCCCCACAATAAATAAAGAATTATCCAGCTCCAAATGTCAGCGGTGCAGATGTGGAGAAACCCTGAGAGATACATAAAACATTTCTATTATTGTTCACATCTAAATATTTAAAAATTCCTATTATGATGTTTTTTCTTCAGAATCATGTTTTATTTAGAAATGTGTTTCTTAATAATTATCTTTTGGTTAGATTTTAGGTAAATTGCATTGTGGTTAGAGGATGTGGTCTGTGTGACTCCAATCTTTGAAATGTGTTAAGGTTTGTTTTGTGGTCTTATATATGGTTCATTTTACAAAGGTTGTATGTGTACTTACAAAGAACGTGTCCCTCTGATCAGGTGTGTTAATCATATTCAATTTTTATACATCTACTTGATTTTAAAAATCTATTTGTTCTATCAATTACTGATAATGGCATGTTAAAATCACTCACCATGGTTAAAAATATTTTATATATTTTGAGGCTATGTTCTTAAGTGCATATAAAAATCTTTTTTTTTTTGAGACGGAGTTTCGCTCTTGTTACCCAGGCTGGAGTGCAATGGCGCGATCTCAGCTCACCGCAACCTCCGCCTCCTGGGTTCAGGCAATTCTCCTGCCTCAGCCTCCTGAGTAGCTGGGATTACAGGCACGCGCCACCACGCCCAGCTAATTTTTAATATTTTTAGTAGAGATGGGGTTTCACCACGTTGACCAGGATGGTCTCGATCTCTTGACCTCGTGATCCACCCACCTTGGCCTCCCAAAGTGCTGGGATTACAGGCTTGAGCCACCGTGCCCGGCCCATAAAAATCTTATGTATTTCTTCTGAATTAAAACTTTGCTCATCATAAAGTGCTCTTTTTTTATTTCTAATAATCCTTTCTACTTAAAAGTGAATCAACCCAGCTTTCCTTTGGTTAGAACTTGCTTGGCATACCTTTTCCATCTTTTTTTACTTTCAGTTTTTTAATATTCTTATGCTTTAAATGTATTGTTTATCAACAGAATATACTTTCAATGTAAAGTTTCATTTAACAACCTCTTTTAATTGTAACAGTTATTACATTTACAGGTATTGTAAATATATTTGTACATATAATTTTATAGTATTTCTTCTATGTTTATTTTTCTCTCCTCTGTTGCTTTATTTCTGATTGGTTTCAGTTTTTACACACCACTTTCCCTTCTCTACCAGTTTGGAAGTTGTATATTACATTTCTAGTCCTTTAGTTGTGACTCTACTAATTATCACAGGCATACTTCAATTATCAATATCTAAAATTCATCTATGACTTTAAATAATTCCCTAACAAATATCCTAGTATACTTTAACTTCATTTATGCCCTCCCAACTTGCATATTATTATTGGTAGGTATTTTCATTCTAAGCTTTTTCTCTTTGAAACATATACTACTTTATTATATTTATTGTTTTATGCAATGTTTGTTGAAATTTACTCTCTCCTACTGTCCATCTGAGGTTAACTGCACTTTCTGTCTGGTGAAGTGCAGTTTGAATTTCCTTAGTAAGTCTGCTGTTAACAAAGTCTCTTGGTTTTTGTCTGAACATATTTTTAATTCACCTTCCTTCTTGAGAGACATTTTCATGTTAAGAAGGTGTTAAATTTGAAAGTTACTTTCTCTCAGCGCATTGGACACACTGTCGTTATCTCCTGATTTTTTTCATGGTTTTCTGCCTTTTTCGTTGCTGATTAAAATTAACTGTGATGTATCTTAGTGGTCATTTCGTAAAACTCTGAAATGTGTTGGGTTGTTGAATCTGTAGGTTGGTAATGTTCAACAAATTGAAAAAGTTGTTAACCATTATCACTTTAGATATTGTCTCTGACCTTTCAGACCTTTTTATTTACTCTTTTGTGTCTTTTTTTTTTTTTCTTTTTTTTAAAGACGGGGTTTCACCATGTTGGTCAGACTGGTCTTGAACTCCCAACTTCAGGTGATCTGCCCACTTTGGCCTAGAAAGTGCTTGGATTACAGGCATGAGCCACCATGCCCGGCCTACTCTTTTGTGTCTTCTAAGCTCTATATGGTATTTTGTCTCTCTTTATCTCTCTAAAATATATTGTGGATGAATTTCTTTGATTCATATTCTAGTTTACTAATTCTCTCTTCAGATGTCTGTAATCTTGTGGTTAAACCATCTACTGAATTCTGTGTTTCAATTATTATATTTTCAAATTGCAGGCATTCTATTTGGGCCCCTTTTCACATCTGTTTGCTCTTTCTTTATAGTTTCTTATTCCTTGCATGTTTAATTTTGAAAATGACTGCATTTTAAATCTCATTTCTGATAACTTTAGAACATATAAGTATAGTTATTTATAGTTTGTGCCTGGTAATTTCATTATCTAAATCCTTTCTGGGTCTTTTTATTCTGCCTGTGGATTCTTTTGACTTTTTTTCTTCCTGGTGCCTTTTTCCTTATGGATTAAGTTATTTACTTTTATTTTTTTGTTGTGGGCTGCTCATTTTCTTTGGATTTCACTTGTGGTAATTCTTTGAGGACTGGATATAGGTCCAGAGGATATATAAATGTACTTTTCCCAAATGTTTTGGAATACTACCAGTTTGGGATCATACTAAATTAAATTATTTGTTTGAGATCTTACGAACTACTCAAGTAATATGAGTATGAGCTGTAAATTGGTGATACTTGTATTAGACTGTGATTCTACATTCTCAGGGATCATTTTTCCTCTGTCACCTGCTCACTACTGAAGTTTAAAAAAAATGCAATCTTTTTTTTTCTTTTAAAAGAAAAAAGTTCCCTCTCCCTGTGCTGCCTCCTCTGTGTATATATGTGTGGTGCACAGCTCTTTGGGTGGCCCAGCTTTATGGTGGAAGGATCTTCTATGAAACTACTCATCTTGAGTAGGCCTGTTCCCTTTTTTCTATGAGGCCATGAAAAGCAAAGTTCAATTTCACTCTATGAGTTAAACACCCTCTGGGTGGCCCAGCTTTATGGTGGAAGGATCTTCTATGAAACTACTCATCTTGAGTAGGCCTGTTCCCTTTTTTCTGTGAGGCTATGAAAAGCAAAGTTTAATTTCACTCTGTGAGTTAAACACCCTCAGGACAAAAGCTAGCTGCAGCACTCTCCTTATCTTTCTGAATTCTTATCTACATTTCGTTATTGGTCTCAAGAATTTCTTACATTCTTACTAGCTCATCACTATATTGCAGGTTTTAAAAATACTTAAGAATCTATGGTTGTTTTGATGGATGGTCAGTATAGACACGTAGCCTGTCCATTGTAGAAACAGAAGTCTATTCATATATTTCTAAAAGACAGATAAATCTGCCACAGAAGTTGATATCAGCACAAATGATATGGCATACTTGAAATAGCATTCTACTGTATTCTGAATTGTTATGCACTCAATTAAGTAGTTGGTAATATGAATACATTTTGTATTTTTCTTTTCAATTTTTAAAGTTTAAATTAAATTGTCTAAGTACAAAATTCAATATTTCTTACAAGAGGTGTTCTTCCATACTTACAATGTAGTCTTTCATTAAGATCATAAAGGGACTCGAGAATCTTCTGTTCTTCAGCTGATATTGTGCAGATGTTGAATTGCTGAGTTTTATTTAAAGGCAGATTTGATTTCTGTATCTGTTTGCTATTTCTGACAGTCAGGATCTCATCCTCAGGTGCTGATGCTTTCACTAGGTTTTCAGCCATCAAAAACTCAGAAGTACTATCTGAAACTACAGAAACTTACATAAATTATCCTTTGATCCCCTTTTGTCTTTGAGATCAGCCCTTGTGCATTCTTACATATACTTATACATACTTAACTGTCTGTATGTGTTCATATTACAAACAGAATCCCAGTAAATATCTGCTACTTGGATTTTATTTATCAGGATCCTCTATCTAGCATTTTCCCATCCTTCATTTTTGAAAAAAAGAATATTCAAAATGATGGCAGTGAGTTAATAAAAATTCCCAGTGTATTACTTGAACTAAAGAAAAAAATAGGTAATGTATATAGTTTTTGTCATATGCTTGTTATTCACTGGTAGTACAAAAAGAAGATGAAGGAGATGATATCAGTTATAATGAATTATAAATAAAAGAGAAGAAAACTTAAGGAAAGATTAGAAACTTTTGTGATCAGCTGAGCAGAACCAACGTCCTAGAAACAGACCCAATTAGATATAAGAACATGTGAACAAAGAAGCATCAAAGACTTGACAGAAGAGAAAGATGATTTTACAAATTAGTTGTTGCTTATAAAATAATCAATTTGGGCTGGATGCAGTGACCCATGTCTATAATCTCAGCATTTTGGGAGGCTGAGGCGGGAGGATCACTTGAGGTCAGGAATTTGACACCAGACTGGCCAACATGGTGAAACCCTGTCTCTACTAAAAATATAAAAATTAGCCAGGTGTTATTGTGAGTGCCTGTAACTCCAGCTACTTGGGAGGCTGAGGCAGGAGAATCACTTGAACCCGGAGATGGAGGTTGCAGTGAGCTGAGATTATGCCACTGTGCTTTAGCCTGGGTGACACACTCCATCTCAAAAAAAAAAAAAAAAAAAAAAAAAAAAAGTCAATTTGGAGTTTTATTTCCCACTGTTTGTTTAAACAAATTCCAAAGAAATTAAAGACAAATTTAAGGAATCAACCCATTAATTAAAGCAACCCAGAAGAAAATGAAACAAATGTTTCTAAATTTCTATATTGGGAAAGTTCTTTGACAAAGTTTAAAAGTAATGGAGAAATCAGTAAGAAAAGACTAAAACATGTTTATTTAAAGCAAGTCTTCCCCAATAGACTTTAAATTTCTGAAGAGACTTTAAATATACAATACTTTTGTATATTTTGTTCATTATTGTAAATGTTGAGTATTCCTTATCCAAAATGTTTGGGACTAGATGTATTTCAGATTTCGGATTTTTTTTAGAGTTTTGGATATTTGCATATATATAAGATGTGTTGGCAATGAGACCTAAGTTTAAACATGAAAAAACTCAGCTGGGTGCAGTGGCTCATGCCTGTAATCCCAACACTTTGGGAGGTCGAGGTCAGTGGATCACTTGAGGTCAGGAGTTCAAGACCAGCCTGGCCAACATGGTGAAGCCTTGTCTCTATTAAAAATTAGCCAGGTGTGGTGGCACATGCCTGTAGTCTCAGCTAATTGGGAGGCTGAGGCAGGAGAATTATTTGAACTTGGGAGGCAGATGTTGCAATGAGCTGAGACTGTGCCACTGCACTCCAGCCTAGGTGATAGAGTGAGACTCTGCCTCAAAAAAAAAAAAAAAAATCATGAAAGTCATTTATGTTTCATATACACCTTATACACATACCTGAAAGTAATTTTATATAACATTTTAAATAATTTTGTCCATGAAATGCAGTTTGTTTATACTGAACAATCAGAAAGCAAAGACATTGCTGTATCAGCAACCTATGTGGATGACTTGTGGTTGTTTGGATCACTGTTATTCCTGACTCCAAATTTATATGCTACTGATAAGCAATAATGTTCTTACACCTATTCACACATAAGTACTTAACAGTAAAAAATATGATGTATCATTTATACAGTGAGAAAATAATGTGTTCAGGGCAACTAAGCAGCATGGTAATATCACCAGAATACCTGTCAGCTGTTCAACAACAGCAAACAAGGAACAATGACAGGGTTCCAATCTTAGGTATTATGCTACACTTTGATCAAATGGTTATTGTACACTGTATTTTATTTTTTTAGGTGAGAAGAAGTATCAGAAACAGCTGAGGCACTAAAAAGTTGGTCCTCTAGGGATGAGGAAAGACTCTGCTAGATGACTTTAAAATGTTTCTTCTAGAGTCTTCTGCCTCATTTACAATTTTTTTGTCTTAGAAGCCTCTCCTTGATTTTATGAACAGACATAATTTCTTTTTGCTATGTGTGTACACTGCTCTTGTTGTTCAATATGCCCCTCACACAATTTTCATCATATTGACAATTGGCACCTTTTTTTTTTTTTTTTTTTGCAGTGATAACAATGTCATTATCACTATTAACATAATCATCTTAATTCAGAGTTCTTTTGGCTATTTCACCATTGGTCAATGAAAACCCCTGGAATCTTATCGATGTTAACAACTTCTTTGTATCCACTTCTTCCAGTTTACTATGGACTCTGAAGGTATATTTTTTGCTTATGTAATGAGATCAGACATCGATTTTTCCTCACTTGACATACGGAATCATTCAGTCACTACCTTGTTCACTGTTACTGAACATAGTTGCAGGCCAGAGACTGTGCCAGGAATGCACAATTGTGTCGTTAGTCCCTGTGTTCCAAGTATTTGCAACAGCATGTATGGCATCCTTCATGATAAACTTGCTTCAAAAACCTTCTACACCCATACCTCTGTTCATTGTTGCTGGTATGCTGTTCAAGAAACTGTTTATATATACTATTCATCTAAGGATACTCTGGTCACATGACTGAATTAATGAAGTAACATTTGGGGGAAAGCACATGGCATAAACATTATTTTTGATGAGAATTACAGCTGGAGGATGAACAGAACAGTTGTCAAAGAATAACAAAATCTTGCAGTCATCATTCAATCCAGCTTCCTTGATATAAAATGTTTGTGAAACCAATCAGAAAAGATGTCCCTCGTGATCCAAACTCTTTTGTTAGCATATTAATGGACTGGCAAGAAATTCACTCCTTGGAAACAGTGAGGACACAAGCTTTTGCTATCATAGCAAGTTTATGTAGGTGTGACTGAGTCATTAGCACATCCCAGCAGTTATTCTGTTTTTTTTTTTTGGAGACCAAGTCTTGCTCTGTCATCATGCTGGAGTGCACTGTTGCAATCTTGGCTCACTGCAACCTCCACTTCACAGGTTCAAGCGATTCTCCTGCTTCAGCCTTCCGAGTAGTTGGGACTACAGGTGTGTGCCACCATGCCCGGCTAATTTTTTGTATTTTTAGTAGAGACCGGGTTACACCGTATTAGCCGGGATGGTCTCGATCTCCTGACCTTATGATCCACCCACCTCAGCCTCCCAAATTGCTGGGATTACAGGTGTTAGCCACCACGCCTGGCCTATCCTGTTATTCTTAATTCTTGTAGGGACTTGTCTAATCAGCTATAGTCAATGTCTTCCTTGAGTAACACCACCGAAACAGTGATGTTTTATCAGCAACATATACTTGTTTTGGTATCAGATTTTCATCAGCAATGACCTTGGCAAACTTTTCAATGAATTTCTCTGCCACTTTGTAATCAGCAGATGCTTGATCACCACAAATCTTTAAAAATAATGCTATGTAATGCTGTATCTTAAATTTCTATAACCAGCCTGTTGAATATTCATAGTTCCCTTCAATTTTCAGTTCATCATGATAGATCTTTGCTTGTTTCATGATCAGCATACCATTAAGTGGCACATGTTCACTGCCACGCTGCTGGATCCACTCTTCCACCTCACGACTCAAATGTTCATTTTTCACTTTATGCAATGTTTTTACATTTTACATTAACTTCTGTTCTCTTCCAGTACAGAACTTCAACAGTTATCCTTCCGTTTCTTCAGGTCATATATTGTGGTCATTCCAACACAATCCTTTCCTATATGACATTTTACACTTACATTTCTGGTATAGTTTCTCCAACAGTGTGACTTTCTGGGCTATCAATAAACAGAAAAGTTTCCTCTTTTTCTTATCACTGCTACCCACAGGGGTGTCCTCAGGTCTTTTTGATATTTTCAACAGTATCTTTACATCACAAAATAGAGAAAAAGCAAAAAAAAAAAAAAAAAAAAAAATACAGTGAGTAATGCATGTAAGTTGGTCCCCTGTGGGGCCTCATGGAGAATCTGCCATTGGTACATGTACCATTTTATTACTCCTTGTGAACATGCTTACATGGGGGAATCTGGGTGTGGATGGAAACGATATAGCACAGCTGAAGAGGGTTGAGAAGATCTTTTTATCCCCTTGGGGATGCTGAAGAAACTGTGTGGTATGAACCTGTGTTTTGGCTGTGATCCATCACACAAAGTCAGGTGTGAAATTTTCCATTTGAGGTATCATGTCAGTGCTCAAAAAGTTTTGGACTTTGGAGCATTTTTGATTTTGAAATATTTGGATTAGGGATATTCAACCTGTATATCCAGTAGCTACCTATAAGCTGAAAATTAGCTCTCAATAATCACTTATTAGATGAACAAATAAAAATTAAAACGTGAAAATACAATATAAGTAGAATAACATGCAAATAGTAAAGTAGTGAAAACATCTTCAACTCATATAAGAATTAGAGTCCTTGATAGCTTAATAATTTGTAAACATCAGTAAGAAAATTTCAAAAATTTCTTTGAAAAAAGTACAAAGAAATAGTTCACAAAAAAATACACAGAAAAGCAATTAAGCATAATATTAATGAAAGGTATAGAAGTCAAAACTAATATAATACTTTTTTTGTCTACAGCAAATATGAAAAGAAAAGATTCTACCTCAAGTTGACATACGTCATTAGACATATACTACTAGAAAAATTTTAAATAATACTTTTCTGGAAAATACTTTAGCAGTATATATGAAAAGCCATATCAATGCTTATTTCTTTTGATCCAGTATTCATTTAATACACAGAGTTTAATTTAATAAATATTTACTGGGTGGCATTTACATGTCAGTTACTATAATTTTATTTCTACAGAAATAAGTAAAAAATCAGAAAATAACTTGATGTAGAAAGATGTTCAATAATATATTGTTATTTAGAATAAAGAAACACTGACGATGACCTGGATGTGCAAGGGGGAGGAGAGTTCAGGTTCTAAATGGTGGTTTAACAATTACATAATACGTTAGCATCTGAGAATAGGCATACAAGAAAAAAAAAAGTCAATGAGAAGAAAGATCAGAAGAAAATGTTTAAACTAAAACATACCTTCTTCAATATAAGAAGTACCCCCTGTAGTTTGTTTTGGCTCACTTGAACTTAGCTGGACACTTTGTCCAAAATTCTACAAAGATAGAATATTGAATTAAAACATATTTCCATATTTAAAATTCATAATATGTACATGAACTTTAAAAAAACTTTTAATTGCTGTATATATTTTTAGCTATAATTGTTCATGTAACTTGTATATTACATTTTTGAGCTGAATTCAAGAATTATTATAATAAAGATTTTCTATGGTAATTGAGTATTATGAAAAATGTTTTATGTCCACTAAAAAATTTTCAGGTTATGTTACTGTCCTGGATATTTGGAAAAGGTAAAGTAAGTTGGATGATAATCAAAAGTGCTAATTAGGCCAGGCACGGTGGCTCACTCCTGTAATCCCAGCACTTTGGGAGCCTGAGGCAGGTGGATCATGAGGTCAGGAGACCGAGACCATCCTGGCTATCACGGTGAAACCCTGTCTCTACTAAAAAGGGCAGAGTGGCACATGCTTGAAGTCCCAGCTACTCAGGAGGCTGAGGCAGGCGAATCACTTGAACCCAGGAGGCGGAGGATGCAGTAAGCTGAGATTTCGCCACTGCACCCCAGCCTGGGCAACAGAGTGAGACTCCATCTCAAAGAAAAAAAAATATGAATTAAATAAAAGGCAAGAAATTACCTTAAAGTTTAAAACCTAGTTGGTTTATCATTGTAAGGGTGAATCACAACTATTAGTCAAAAGCATCTGATTACAGTTAATGTCAAGGATAGGTAAATAGCTTAGGTGACAAAAAACAAATGGTGCCCCAATGCTGCACAGAACCTTAAAAATGGAAGTCTCAGAACACTGGCAAAAAGTGTATGCATCCAGCACTTTCTGAGAGATACCAACTTCCCTTTCCTGAATATGGTTTACCGCCTTCTTTATTCCCATTTTGTTTCACTCTTAGAGATAATTGTTTTCTCTCAGATAAAACTGCCTGGCTATGACTATAACATAGCTTTTGTTCAGTCTGATCTGAGGAGAAACTGCAGATTTTTGCAACAGCTCTCCTTCAGTAGATCTTATAGTTTTGTTTGATCTCCATTACAGATGTGAGATACCTTGGACTGAAACCCTGGTGCAAAATGGCAACTGTAAGTTTTCTGTCTTTCACTTATCTCTTTGAGATTTTCTCCATAAAGATGTCACGGGCTGGAGAAAATCCAGTATGGTAACATGCATTTCTTAATACAAAGTGACAAGGCCACTGCTGTAACTGAACCCTCGCTTACACTTAGAATAAAAAACAAAAACAAAATGAGACAACATAACAAGGATGACAAAATTTGGTTCAGGAACACTGACCTATTCTTGGGCTAACAAGACTTTGGAAGATGTGTAAGTGGATGTGTGAGTGGAAGATCTGTATGTGAAAGGGGAAGTGAGACTTCTGAAAAGGACACAAATGGACTCTAAATACAGTAAGACAGAATGCAAAAGATCAAGAGACAGAATAGAATAAGACATAGCAAAATTAAAATGAATTTATAGAGGGCACTAATAACAGGCATTTAAAATTTTGTTTGTTCATTTTCTTGGTTATAACAACTACATATTACTTTTAAATTTATAATATATTAATAAAAATAAAGAAAAATTAAGGGTAAGGATGTTTTTGCATTATGGATCTTGAGATGTTTGATGGGAACATGGCAGTTGAAATGGAAGGCTTTATTAGGCATTATTGTATTTGTAATCAGGAAGTTATGTCTGTAATTAACCATTATGCTATTAAGCAATGAAAATATGTGGGTAATGAGATTAACTTTATTTACATAAATATACAACTAAATGACTTGCTTTGCTGATGAGATAATTATTGATTATTCTCCATATTAATAATCTTATCCATATAAAAATCAGTATTTCCTATAATGTACAAATCATAGGACCCTCAACTGATAACTTGGAATATAAATTATTCATATGGCATTCTATTAAAAATATTCCAGTTTTATTAAAAAGGTCAGAGTGATATTTAAAGTGGAAACTCCAAGTGAAATGCTATTTACTTATCTATCTAGACTTTTAATATTCTAAGGTCAATCCTTGGATCAAGTTAGACCTCTAGAAAAATGCCATATTTGACTTCATTTACTTAGATCTTACAGAATTACTTCCATTTACTTTAGACTTAATTTATTTAATTTTTTTGAGAGACAGGGTCTCACTCTGTTACCTGGGCTGGAGTACAGTGAAACAATCATAGCTTACTGCAGCCTCAGACTCCTGGGCTCATGCATCCTCTTATTTCAGTCTCCCAAATAGCTGGGACTATAGGCATGCACCAGCATACCTGGCTAATGTTATTATTTTTACTTTTGCAGAGATAAGGTCTTGCTGTGTTGCTCAGGCTGGTCTTGAACTCCTGAGCTCAAGTAACCCTCCTGCCTTGGCCTCCCAAAGTGCTGGGACTACAGGCATAAGCCACCATGCCTGGCCATTATTTTAAAATTGTTACTATGTTTTTCAGTTTTATTGACGATCTCTATCTTGAACAGCCATATCAAACTCTTTATTCATTTGTTATGGAACTATTATTAGGAACTATTCATTATGTATTTCAAAATTCCCTATGAAAGGTCTTCAATGGGAAATGTTTTAAAAATTGTATCCCAAACCACATCATCAATATCCCTTGAGAATTATGTAACTCATCTAATTTTCCTTTTTGCCATGTCTTCCAGAAGCTCAGACACAAGTAGGTCATATGGAACTATAGTTGTCTTTATAGTTAGCATACTTTTTTTTTTTTTTGAGATGGAGTTGCCCAGGATGGAGTGCAATGGTGCAATCTCAGCTCACTGTAACCTCCTCTCGAGTAGCTGGGATTACAGGTGCCTGCCACCATGCCTGGCTAATTTTTTGTATGTTTAGTAGAGACAAAGTTTCATTATGTTGGTCAGGCTCATGTTGAACTGCTGACCTCAGGTGATCCACCCACCTCGGCCTCCCAAAGTGCTGGGATTACAGGTATGAGCCACCGCACCCGGCCTAGCATACTTGTTTCTTCAATCTGTGTCTCTAATTTACTTTTCTTTCTTTTTAAAGTATATATTTAACTTTGTTGAATTTTGTTGTGAAAGACCTTATTTTTTTTCCCAGCATTGGCTATCAATAATAACAAATAAAATAATAATGGTGATTTAAAGTTGGTTTAAAACTTTCACTAGTAACTGATTTTACAGTCAGTTACTGGAATACAGCAAGTAGATATAGTGCAATAATCTAGCATAAAGATTCTAAGATTGCTTCACAAATGACTTTGGCTATAATTATGTTTATCTTGTGGTATACAGTTTACAGGCACAGCATAGTCCTTTAAGAACCTATGTTTTCCAAGCAATTTTTCAATACTGAATAGAGATTTTGATGACTACTGTACTTACATTAATTTGCTCATTGTACTTCTGTCCTACAGATCCAGGGTTTTGTCTTTTCTGCTCTGAAATATTTCTCCGCTTAGTTTCAACAATTCGTTTTCTTCTCATAACAGTAGACCCTTGAGCAAATGCCAGCACAATGTCAAAAATTATGCAAGTTGAGTAGTTACTAACATCAGGAAAACTCTGTAAGTTTAATTCATCCGGTCAGCATACTTTATTGAGCTCCTCTTATATGTCCTATGCATGGTACAGTTAAAATGATGAATTGAACAAAATCCTTGCTTCTGAGGGATTTATAGTTTAGAGCAGTAACCTTCAGAGCATGATGTAGAACACCAGAAGGTTGCGTAAGATAATCCACTGGTGTGCTGGAAGAACATATTAGAATTCTAATTCATATTTATTATCTAAAAATTAGCAGTTAAACTTTACTCATGTAATACATGATAGACACTGGCACCCTGGTTATTTTGCAAGGTAGATGCTCATATAATGCATGAAGTAAACTCAGTTATCTTAGACGAGTTAAGGTTGCAAGCTTGAGTTTGACAGTGGTATCATCATTCATTAGGTCTCTTTAGCTTCCTGCAATGTACTAAAATTTATGTGTGCACAGGTAAGTGAATTTATGCATATCTTATAGTATCTTAACAAGTCCTCACAAAATAACAAAGTGGCTAGAATAACTTTTGTAGGGCTCCTACTATATCTATGATGTTTATTATTTAAGGTGAGTTGTAGGTACATGAATGTTTATCATATTTTTCTTTGCTTTTTTATGACTATTTAAAAACATATTCTTGCAAAATCACAGATCAAAATAATACTAATAATGCAAAGATAGGTAAACAACAGCAAGGCTAACACATTTCTTTTTCTCATTACAAACTCTTTGCCACATAATGACAGTAACATCACAAATTCAAAAATTATCAAATAATTGTAACAGTAACTTTTACTCTAAATGTATATTGTGCTGTGAGATATTAGCTAATTATACCATACAAAATGTAAAATTTTACTTTATGTTATATTTAACCAATTTCTGATTAAGGTTCTTTTTTTTTTTTTTTTGAGATGGAGTTTCACTCTTATTTCCCAGGCTGGAGTGCAATGGCGCGATCTCGGCTCACCGCAACCTCCGCCTCCTGGGTTCAGGCAATTCTCCTGCCTCAGCCTCCTGAATAGCTGGGATTACAGGCACACGCCACCATGCCCAGCTAATTTTTTGTATTTTTGGTAGAGACGGGGTTTCACCATGTTGACCAGGATGGTCTCGATCTCTTGACCTCGTGATCCACCTGCCTCAGCCTCCCAAAGTGCTGGGATTACAGGCTTGAGCCACCGCGCCCAGCCACCTGATTAAGGTTCTTAATGAATATATTAGTACAGTAATATATGTATATGCTATATATGTGTTCAAAATTCTTTATTAGAGTACAATAAAAAGGCTTAGAATCCATTGATCTGGAAGAATGAATATAAATGAATTATTACCATAAAATACTTAAATTGGATGTATAGCTATAAACAATTAAATGAAAGTACAGAGGGTACAGTGACTACGTAAGAATAAGGAAAGGTTTCATGAAGTTTGTCTGAGCTTGGTCTTAAAGGAGTAGTTAACCTTCTGGGCCTGTTTTTTAAAAAAAAGTTAGTAGTAAGTTTACAAATAAAAGTGCACATTTATTTATTTATTTATTTATTTATTTATTTATTTATTTTTGAGATGGAATCTCACACTGTTGCCCAGGCTGGAGTGCAGTAGGGTAATCTCAGCTCACTGCAACCTCCACCTCCCAGGTTCAAGTGATTTTCCTGCCTCAGCCTCCTGAGTAGCTGGGATTCCAGGTGCGTGCCAGCACACCCAGCTGATTTTTGTAGTTTTAGTAGAGTTGGGGTTTCACCATGTTGTCCAGGCTGGTCTCAAACTTCTGACCTCAGGTGATCCACCTGCCTTGGCCTCCCAAAGTGCTGGGATTACAGGTGTGGGCCACTGCACCCAGCCTAAAAGGACACTTTGAGTCAGAAAGAACATTATGTATAAAGGCGTAATGATGACACATATTTAAGTTTCGTGGGGCCAAGGGTGAAAATTCATTTGGTCTGGGGCATAGATATGCACGTGTGTAAGCACTTACATGTCTTGGGAAATACATGGAAATGTGTGCATGTGCTTAATGATAAGAGCCTTACAAAAAAGCCTTTACTTGGCAGGGCGCAGTGGCTCACGCCTGTAATACTAGGACTTTGGGAGGCTGAGGCAGGTGGATTACCTGAGGTTGGGAGTTTGAGACCAGACTGACCAACATGGAGAAACCCCGTTTCTACTAAAAATACAAAAAAATTAGCCAGGTGTGATGGTGCATGCCTGTTATCCCAGCTACTCGGAAGGCTGAGGCAAGAGAATCGCTTGAACCCGGGAGGCTGAGGTTGGGGTGAGCCAAGTTCGCACCACTGCACTCCAGCCTGGGCAACAAGAGTGAAACTCAGTCTCAAAACAAAACAAAACAAACAAAAAAGACTTTATCTTTCAAGAAAGTAAGCTAGTAACTGAATACCTGACATCTGAGAGTAAGAAATAATAACGTAATACTAATATTTATTTAGCGTTTATAATTTGGCAGGTATTGTTCTAAGCGCTATAGGTGCTATTATCATCATTATTCTTTCATATAAAAAATTAAGATGAAAAAATGCTCAACATCACTAATCATTAGAGAAATGCAAATCAAAACCACAATGAGATACCATTTCACACCAGTCAGAATAACAACTGACTACTATTAAAAAGCCAAAAATTAACATGCTGGTGAGGTTGTAAAGAAAAGGGAATACTTATATGCTGCTGGTGGGAATCTAAATTAGTTCAGCCATTGTAGAAAGCAGTTTGGAAATTTCTCAAAGAACTTAAAGTAGAAGTACCATTTAACTTCTGTTTTATAAATCGCTCCACCATAAAGACACGTGCATGTGTATGCTTACTGCAGTACTACTCACAATAGCAAAGACATGGAATCAACCTAAATGCCCATCAATGGAAGACTGGATAAAAAAAGTGTGGTACATATACAACATGGAATACTATGCAAACATAAAAAGGAACAAGATCATGTCTTATAGCAACATGAATGGAGCTAGAGGCCATTAACCTAAGCAAACTAACACAAGTACCTAAGGAAACCAAATACTCCATGTTCTCACTTTTAAGTGGGAGCTAAAATTTGGTAATAAAGAAGGGAACAACAGACACTGGGGCCTACTTCAGGGTTCAAGGTGGGAGGAGAGTGAGAACTGAAAAACAACTTGTTAGGTACTATGCTTATTGCCTGGGTAACAAAATAATCTCTACACCAAAACCTAGTGACATGCAATTTACCTATATAACAAACATGCACATGTACTCCCAAACCTAAAAGTTAAAAAAAGAAACAAAATAATAAATTAAGGCACGGGGGTGGGGGGAGGATAAGTAACTTGCCTAACATCATGGAGCCAGTAAGGGACAAGCTAGGGATTCATCTCCAATTAGTTGGGCTCTAAAATCTAAACTTCTAGCTCTTACCCATATGGTAGTAATTTTCATTCTGATTTGACTGTGTCTCACAGAAATATATTTTACATTGTAACCTTGGATACATATGTAGTTTTATAATATATACTTATCCTCACAACATATGATACCTTCTAGTAGTTTCCATTCTAGAATATTCTAATTCTAAAATTAGGCTTCATTAAAAAATACTAGTTACCAGTTTTTTCCACCTGTACTGATATACTAAATGCTATATATGCAAAATGTTATAGTTTCCAGTGAGATAATTTGGGCAGCAATATAGATTCTATGTTGTTTTCTGTTCTTGGAATTTTCTTTCTCCAAATCTTGAGAAGTCCTCATTTTACTTTATCTAAAAAGCTTTAAACACCTTGCATAAAAATTTTCTTGTTCACGTAACTGCTGTGTCAAGGTTTTATCTCATCCCTCAGTCTGCTCATCAATCTTCTGAAGTCACTTTTGTACTTTCTTGATTGAATTATTTATCATTGTGCTTTATTGTTCTTTGTGTTCTTTTTTTGGTTTGTAGAAAGTGATTTATTTTAAAGAGAGAGACAAACAGGAGAGGGAGAAAGAAACAGCTAACTCTCACCCTGAGTGAGAGAATCCAGAAAGATGGAATCCAGGAGAGGAAAGCAGCTTCCACACTGAGTGGAAGGGAATAGAGAGAGAGATGGAGTTTAGGAGGGGAAGACAGGCTTCCACAAGAGAGTGTGGAAGGGGACTCCAGAAGGGAAATCCAGGATAGAGAAAAACAGCTTCCATGAAGGGAGTGTTCATGGAAGGGGATCCAAATATGGAGTCCCATTCTTTGTGTTCTTTGTAGTTTTGTGGATTGTAGATTATTGATCGCAGGAAAAGACACAGTATATGCTTAAAACTGTTTATGTATTTTTCTATTCACATACATGTGCTTAAATATTATCTAGCAATTAATACAATAACTGAGCACTTTGCTATTTTTGCAAAAATAATGTAGCTTGCACTGGTATCTCTGGCCAAATTCCTAGTTTCATATGAAAATTCTAGATATGATAGTTTCACCACCAAAACTCAAAATAAAACTACTAATCTTCAATAAAGCATTATAATTTTAAAAATCTGTAGTATTCTTAATTGTAAACATAAGAAAAAATACTGGAGATGTTCTTAGAATTATGGCTTTGGAAAAAATCTTAGAAGTTAACTAGTTCAACATGTAACCCCTGGATCTAAATTACTCGCAGGTGGACAACCACTGCTTGAATGGTATAGTGATGAGGAGCTACTACCTCATGGGGCATCCTTTTCCTTTGTTAGATAGTTCAAATCTTTCCTTATGCTGAGCTGAAAACCTCTCTGCAACTTTTGCCCTTTCATTTCAGTTCTGTTTACTCCTTCTTCTTTGTTATAAACCTTCAAATATTTGTGCACAGCTATCATGGCTCTTAGGCTTGTGTTTCTTTAATTGACTTTTAGACTGAACCTTTCCGCTCATAGCCCTGGGTAATCCCGGTTTGTTTATAAAGCTCTTAAAATATATCTACTAAAATGACATAGAATACATCAGAACTTCTAAAG